GGCTCTGTGGACAACATGCAGGGATAATGAGCTTTTTGAGCTTCTTTAGTTCAATTAGCAGGGAGACACACACACAAACACAGACAGGTAGTATCTAGAGGGTTTCCCCCAATTGCCCCTACCTCAACCTTATTGACACAGACATGAGAGAAAATACGTGTCACTTACCACGCGGTTGTAATGAGTATGTGCGTGTGTGCACATGTGTCTGCGTGTGATGTAATGCCTTAGCCTTGGGGGTCTCTCCCTGTCAGAGTGATGCCTTCTTGCAATCAGTCTCCAGGGAAACAGGCAATAGACAGAAGCGATGTCACCCTTCCAGGATAAACACACACACACGCACCATACGCATACACTCGAATGCACATCGGCATACACCATTACGGCCATACACACTCAATTAAATCCAGACAAAGGGAGATGTGGACACACACACATTAGCAGGTGCATCCATGGGTACTAACGTGACAGAGCTAAATACATAAAGACACACACTCCATATGTGTGCGTGTACACAGAGGAGACCCTGTGACGTGAATGTTTACCATCAGAGCACACAAGTTTTAACATAACCATGTAAGTACCAGCACTTCCACATACAGCCAGAGGTTGCTTAGCCTTGTTATGCTCAAACAAGCATATTTGTACCTGTTAGTTCTACAGTCGCTTAGAAGTCTGTGATCTAGAAGATGAAGGCAGCGTGTAATGGACTGAAGGAAAAGGGAGAAGGTTGAGAAGGAGAGTAGGTGCAGTTGCACAAAAATGCAGAGATGGCTGATAGCTTCTTTAGAGAATATGGTGGGAGTTTAATTCCCTGATCGACCTCATGTACTGTCTCTAAAGCAGTATGCAGCCACTGTAAGTGGACCAGCAGAGAAAATGTGCAGAAAGGTCTACCAGTAAATGTCAGAGATAGTAGAGCGAGGGCAGAACGGGAGGGATGGTGGTGCTGCGGAGGGACTGAGGAAGAGGTTTTAAGGCTGCTGAGAAGGCAATGACTCTCGTGGGGGGATGGAGGCATATTTAAGACTCGCCAAGGGAGGGACTTTCTCTGACAGTGAAAGGAAGGAAGGAATCGAGGAAGCAAAGGGGAAATAGGAGGCAGCATTGCTGATGCTTGTGTTGAGAAGCAGACAGAGGGTACATACTCACACTTGATACCCTCACACATGCCAAATGCACGCATTGATAGTGTGACAGGTGAAGTCAACAACTGCTGGGCATCGCCTCAGAATAGCAGCGTTGCAAGCCTGAAATGTGGCTTGGAGCTTGGCCCCGAGGAGCTATGTGAGCCTCTGTGAAAGATCTATTGATCTGACTGTGACAGCCCACATGCTAAGGTCCCAAGTGTCCAAGGGCCCCAGTTATTCTCAGACAGAGACACGTGTCAGACCAGGACCCCCTGTTCCTCATCAAAATAATAATAGAAGCATATAGAAGGCTGTCCTCACACTGCTGTTAACATTTTGACATGTCACGATCCTGGGTGTGTGGCAGTGACACTGATCATGAGGAGAGGTCACAGAACATGCAGAGTTAAAAATGCATGACAACAAATTAAAGGCTCAGGTTTTTTCTTTGAAGCCTTTTGGGCAAAAAGTCACCATGAGCCAAAAATTAAATTATTTCACATTCATGAATTATTTCATCATTTAATATTCTCTCTACATAATCTATCTAGGCTCAACAACCGTGCCTGAATATTTACAATGCAGGAATTTACAGCTGTGCCTTAGAGCGCTGAAGGCTGTACAAGATAATAATTTTTATCTGCAATCAAACTTTGTCCTACAGAAGTGGCCTTCATCATGGACTTGAACTTAACTTAAATTGCAAAGGCTGATAACTGAAGATAGAGGCTGCACAGCAATGAATGGAAAAGTCTTAGATGTGGCAAAAAAGAGTGTGCTGATAGGGTTTGTGCTGTTTCTGCACAGGAATATAGCTTACTCACAATACCCACAGTCACGAAACACTGTGTCCTCCTCAGTTAACCTCTCTCCATTTACCCTTCCAACACACAGAAACATGCACGCTCCACACAATCCAGCCAACTCTGTTTGGTTCCATTCTTATTCTTCATCTCTATTTTTGGGAGCAAAGCTAGAGCAGCTGGACCTTCAGAAAAAAGTGCAGAAGCTTAGGTAGAGCTACACAGACTGATCAGTATACAGTGACATTTGCTTTGTAGCCATTGTCAAAGAAGGGAGACCTAAAGGAGCCATTAAGAGGCTATATTTATACACGTGCATTATATATTTTCAATCTATGACGAATGATCTTAACCGATCATATTTCAACACGAGCTCTCAAGGATGGCTTCTCTGAAAGGCAGCATCCATTTTCAATAAAGCAGTTTGCACAGCATGTTTATGCGGAGGTGCATGGTGCATGTGCGTGGGTGTGATTATCAATAATCAATGGAAGAAATCACTCAAACCTCGCCCCCTAGACTCGTTTAAAGCAGCGCGCGAACCTCTCCTCCTTCCACCCATTCATCTTCCCAGCCCGATCGTTCTTTCATCCTCGGGATCTCAATCCATTTTTTTTTCCACAACAGCCAGCAGGCTTCTATCCACCTCAATTATCTAAGTGAGGGTTTTAGCTGTCTGATGGGACTCCAGTGTCTGTTGGAGTCAAACCAAATACGCAGCCATAAAGAAGACAGAAGATTTTACAGTCTCCATTTAAGATGAATTTTGATGCACACTTAACTCTCTGGATTCTCTCTTTAGAAATGCAAGATGCTGAAGACAGACCGCGATGTTTTGCTACATTTCATATACGATTTGTTTTTCCCCCAATATGCCCTGATGATCAGAAGTTAATTAATATGGTGAGAGTGCTGACAAACACTTTGATTACCCTGCTCGAAATCACTCAGTCCATTGATTCGTATTGATAGATAACGCAGCCTGTTTGAGATGAGGGCTAAATTGATTGTAGCTTAAGAACCTAAATCAGGCTTTTCATTATCGCCTTTTTCCTTTTTTTCCTCTCCTTCCACAGACTTTCATTCTCACCCAGCCGCTTCTCTCTTCCGATCACACTCCCCCAGTTTGACGCCCACTGGAAGAGCAGCGGAGCAGAGGGAGAGAGATAGTGAAGGAGGAAAAAAAAAAGAAAGAAAGAAAGAAAGGAATGAAGAAAACAGGACAAAGAGACAGGCGTGGAGTTGAAATAGAAAAGGCCCAGGCAGAAAAAGAGGGCATAAGTCTCTGCCATCTCCTTCAGGGAAAAAAAGAAAGAAAAGGCAGACAGAAGAGAATAAAAGAGAAGAGGAGGGATTGAAAGGGAATTAGAGACCGTGCACTTTCATTAATAAAAAAAAGGACCTCTAAAGCAGTGATTTTTGTAAAGTAGAAGAAAAGACACAGCAGGGAGATTTTTCTAGCAACGGCATTAACAGAAAGAGTCCGGAGATCGCAGACTGCAAACAGAAACACAGGAGGAGGGTGAGAAAGATGGGGAAACACACCCAGTTGGGCTATTCTAAAAAGCTACCTGTTAATCTGTGCACTCAGCTGATCTCACAGATTATTTCACATCATTGGCGATCCATGTATGACAAGCTGCATAAGCAGAAGTCATGTTTCCACCTTATGAACTAAAGAAAGCAAAGCCTGTGTCATATCTCTGACCAAAAAAGGGAGGCTAGAATGAGGACAAAAGTGTCTCACAGCAAGGTGAGCACAACATGGTCCGAGGCTTCCTGACACGCACGCGCGCACACAAAATAAACAGAGAACAGCAGCCAGGGGCCTATTCAGCTTATTACACCCCCCATTACACAAACAAATGAGATCCTGGCCTCCTTCTGATAATCTGCCCCCTCCATGTCCTTAGCATCCTTGCATTACATCACCCAAAAGCAGTAACTGTCAAGCTTGGTCATTGCAATAGTTGTTGCAATCATGAATTCAGTGACTAAAAGGTTCATCTGCACCGCCTAAACCGGGTAAAAAATGGGGTGTCCTAGTGACTTGGAGGGTCAGTAATCGTACTACCTAATGTTCAAATCTGCCTGATGACCTTTGGGACATGTAATCTTCTTTCTTTCTTTATCCCCTACATTTCCTGTCAGTGTTTATGGGCTGCTTGTAAAATACAAAAATAAAAAAAAGCAAAAGGCAAAAAAGCCCAAATAAGACAAAGTTAACCCAGGAGATTCTAGATAAGCACCAGAGATATAACCATGACATACATGACAGCCGTCAGTCATTATGCAAATGCACTGTTTATAAGGTTGGGGAAACCTGCAGTCAGCTCAGACTGAAGAAGTCACCTGGATGAGTGACAAAAGGTTTCTCCCACTGAAAACGCCACGTCCAGATGAACAGAATCAACTTTTTGGGAAACGACAGCCTGGTTTCATAATTGTTACGCATATGCAATGCAGCTACATTAACGTGACACTGTGGTAATTTTGTGTCATACCTCTAAAAGCCTGGGGGGATTGATGACAGACAAATTAAAACAAAACAACAGCCAAAACTAAAGCAGCAGAGGCAAAGATATTGTGAGTATCAGTCCTTAGCTAAAGACACTGGCTCCAATAATTCCCACAGGGGAACTTCATAATGTCTTTCTCTAGACCCCTCTGCCTGATAAATTCACAGGCTTGTCCACACTCCAAGTTTCTAACGCATGCTTTCTTGTATTAATTTTCAAGTGTGAGCTGAGGTAACCCTCTTCACTGTGCTATGTCATCATCAGGCTTATTTTCTAAGACATGGCTGGAGTGCAGCTTGGTTTCCCAAAAGACAACGACTGCGCTCAGTTATCAGCGACTAGATGACTTCTGGGCAGTATTTTCTGAGGGAGAGCTGTCAGTTTATGTTTCTAATTTTGTGGTCTGCCTCCTTAAGATTTCAACTCAGGAAATAATTAATTTTATTGATGGTTAGAACATTTCAACACATGGCCCAGCCCCAGCACTAAGCACAAGTGATCTTTTTATTGGTGTGTCTTTTTAAGTGTCACTCATTTGTGTCCCTCACCTTCGTGTACACGCCCCACGACAGCTCTGTCTCAATCACCATGACTACGATGCCAAACATTCCAAAGATCAGGGCGTAGTCGCTCAGCCGCTTCCTCTTCTCGAACAGCGCCCTGCGGTGCCCCAGTTTATACCCAATGTTTTGGTTCTTTCGTTTGGGAGCCTTGGAGGTGCTGCCCCTGGCCCCGGTACCCACTGCCCCAACTCCTCCCTGCCTGCTGCCCCTCCCTGACTGCGAACGCCTGCTCTCCACTAGTGCGTGGTTCTGGTGGTAGATGGACATCTGGTTGGATGTGGAGTCGGTGATGTCATAACCTCCTCTGAGGTACGGGGAATCTTCTTTGGATGAAATCACAATCTCTGGCGGGCTCTGAATTGGGGGTTGGTTGGTGGAGGACTGGGTCACCGAACAGGTAGGGGGGGCTTCTCGCTGCCGGTCATGCCCCCCAGCAGCAGTTGCGCCAGCAACAGCTGAAACGGCGCCCTCTTTGGTTTCGCTGCTGCTGTCTGACTCGATTAGGTTTCTCCGGGATGCGCTGAGGCGGCTCAGGGGCTTCATGACGCCACCTGTGTACTTACAGGAACTCATGGCAATCTCCGTGAAGGGGTTACTGTCCCTACGGTGAACCAGAGGGCTGGCCTGTCTGTGTTTGCACCCCCTCTCCCTGTCACGCTCTCTGTCCCTCTCCCGCTCCATGGACGGCGAATGGGACGAGTAAAAAAGGGCGTTGTAGACTGGGGAGTTGTCCCCACTCAGGCTGTGCTGTGAGCCCAGACAGGAAGAGAGTGGGGTGCTGGTGGGGTGCAGGGCATTGGGGATGGGTGGAGGCAAAGGCTGAGCTCCAGCGGAGGAAAGTGGTAACTTCGGGAGAGATGCTGGGGGCAAGTTGGGCGTGGCGGGCGAGGGGGATGAGGTGCTGCCGTTTAGACGGTCGAGGCTTGATCCTCCCATGTGGTTGGAGTGGTTTGATCCTGGCTGGGCGCCAGCGGTGGACGGATGGGATATACTGCCCAGGGGAAGGAGGAATCGCTGGTCCTCATCCTCGCTCCCTCCTAGCAGAGCCAAGCTCAGAGAAGGGGGAGGCTCCATGATCACAGCTGTGGCCGCACACCTGTCTAGGAAGAGAAAAGAGAGGAAATATAAAGTGGCCCGCGGAGAAAACGATAGAGAATACAGGTTCCTTATCGTAATGTGGTAATGAAGGACATACAGAAAAAACAAAGGAAGGAGCAGGAAAACATTGTGATGGATGGTTAAAACAAATGAGGGAGAAGACTGAACTCCAAAAGCTGAGGATGTGTGACAAAGAGGGAACACAGAGTGAAGACAAGTGGTCATAATTGGGGAATATGTTATTCCTTGAGTCACATTTGAGTCAGTTGCCCAGTCAGCCTCTCTCAGCGCTTCCCCTCTCGGTTTCCCAGTGTCTTCTTGTTCTCTCACATCCCACAGTGCTTCCAGCAATCTATTCCATAAATGTCATCTGTGTTGTTAGCCAGGAGTATGGTGCAAATCCTCTGGCTTTACACTATGAAAATGAGATCAGCCTCAGAGACTAAAGGATAATAATTCCAGATCAGAGCAGAAGTGCGAAAGCCTCAGTTAACCATAAGTTGGCTTGCGTTTTAGTATCCTCTGATTGATCCAAAACAACAGCCTACTTTCAGTATGATATAACCAGACACCTTCACGACCACCCATCTCCTCCTTGACTGTTTCCCATATACCTACCTCCGACCTCTTCTGCCTCGGTCCCTTTTCCCCCAGGTTAGTTGTGTCGAATCACGGACTGGATGAAAGCAGACCACAGCACTTTTTCTTTTTCATGTTGTCACGGCCATCCCATCATCTTTTCGCTTCGTCTCCCTTCATATAGGTCCTCCACAGGTCTTATCTCTCGAAAATGCGCGTCGCTTCCCCGCTGATGATGGCTCCGTCTTCCGCTCACCTGATAAGATCAGTTTGTCTCTCTCCCAGTCATCGGTGATGTATTGATCGTTCCCATTTTGATCCTGTCAGTGGCAATCGGCAGTGGATGAAGCGGAATAATCCATGGTGACTCGGATAAATCGGTCAACCTGTGGCTGCACGTAAGCAGCATGAAACAGGAGGTGGTGGGGGGAAAAGACGACGGCGTGGATGTGAAGTAAGAGTCCCCAGATGAGCTGTAAAGTCTGCGATTTAATATGTGACTCCACCGACAAACACTCAATCTACGGCTCTCCGTCTCTCCGACTCTGTCTCTCACTCTCTCCTCCAACTTCTCTCCCTCTTTTCTCCGCCTCCAGACCTGCCGCTCACTCCCATTGGACGGAGTCGGAAAGGCGAAATAACAGGTGGCAGGATTTTTAAGATGTGGCCACCAAACGGTTGTCTAGATTTATTGTACCGGGTTATTTCGGGGTTATTATTAAAACCAGTGATCCGTGTGGCATTCGTAGCTGCTGCCTCTGTAATAAAGACTATATGAGCCATTTGTTGTTGTTTTTTTTCTTTATGGCACCTGTTGGAACACGGCACTGAAGGATGCTGGGACCGCCAACTCCACGTCAGAAATACACGCAGAGAAACATTTCCAGAATAAACACACGTGTAAGTCAAAACTGAAGTGGAGGGGAGACACATGCCTAAGACAAATATAGATGTTAATGCGGGTCTATAAAAGTAATCCTGCAACATCGCTTATGCAATATATGTTTGAAATCATTTCATCAAATTTTGATTGATTATAAGGTGAAACGAATTACTTTCAGAAAACCAGTTTAGATAATGCCGATACATTTAATCTGAGACCATTGGCTGGTATGTTGTCCTTGTCTTGAGCAGTGTTGGTCAAGTTACTTGAAAAAAGTAATCAGTAACTAATTACTGATTACTTCCCCCCAAAAATAATCCCGTTACTTTGCTGATTACTTTTTCAAAAGTAATTAATTACTTAGTTACTTAGTTACTTTTTAAAAACACGATTTACAACCTGAATAGGTGATAAAGCGATAGATCTTTCAGCCCAATTCTACTTTTTCTGCATAATCCATCATACAAAATGTAATCAAATGGAAAAGTCTCTTTTTAAAACTTGTTTTATTAGTTTTAATCTTTTAACTTTATGCATCAAGCAAAAATTTAATTATATGCAACATTCTCTGACTGAAGAAATTAGTTTAACATTTAAACCTATTTTCTGCACATTCCAGCACATAAAATAATTTTTTTGTGTTTACACTCAGCTCTTTCAAATAGATGCAAGTAAAACACAGCAGAAAATAAATAAAGTCAAAGACTCAGCGGTCCTGTTGCTCTATTTTCACCTGTAAAGCAGGAGTGGGGTAGGCGGAGGTTTACCCTGGTGCAGGTGTGCCAGCGGTCAGTGTGAAGAATCCGCGAGTTTCTCTGTGAATTTCCCATTACGTCGTAGCGCACTCGGCTGCTTGGAAGTTTAGGGGTTTTTTTCGCTGTAAAAAGAAGTTTTCTTCCCACGCACAACAGACACTAATGTTTTTGTCACTTTTTATGGAATCAAACTCAAAGTAAAGGTCAGTACTTCCACGCTTTAAGCACGCTCATACTCTCTCCCACACTCGATATATTATCCATTGTTGATCTGCACACAGCTGTTGCCACGAACGTCGCACTCGCTTACGTCACTGTCATGAGACATTCTGCAAAAAAATCACGGTTTTAGTAACGCAGTAACGCAGCGTTCCTACGGGAAAGTAACGGTAATCTAATTACCGTTTTTGCAATAGTAATCCCTTACTTTACTCGTTACTTGAAAAAAGTTAATCAGTAAGTAACGTGTTACTGCCCATCTCTGGTCTTGAGCCACCTTTCAGAGGGGTTCAGAGACTTACATGGAAATACATTATATAAGGTAAAAATATCGTTTTTCAATTCTAATGAGGTTGAAATGGGTTTAGTATGACCACCTTTATTCATTAGCACAGCCTGAACTCTCTTAGGGAAACTTTCTTGTAGTTGTCTTTAAGTAGTCTCCAGAAACAGTTCTCCAGGCTTCTTGAAGGACAGTCAACGCTCGTTTTTTTCTTTCATATTGGCTGAGTTTTCTTCTCTTCTCTGTCAAGATGATCTCACATTGCCTCAATAATGTTGAGGTAAGATTAAGAGTTCTCCTTTGTGTGTTTTTCTATCTGGGCTTTTACTGCACTGGCAGTGTGTTTGGGATCATTCTCATGCTGCAGAATGAAGCTGCTGCCAATCAGATGCTTTCCAGGTGGCACTGCATGGTGGATCAAAATCTGATGGTACTTTTCTGCATTCATAATTCCAACAGTTTCAACAAGATCTCCAACACCACTGGCTAAAATGCAGCCTCGAACCACAACAGAGCCTCCACTGTGATGAACAGATGGCTGTACACATACTGGTGTACCTCTCTCCTGACCTCCTCTGGACATATTGACAATAATGTAAACCAAAAATGTTGCATTTGAATTCAGCACTCCATCCTGTTGATTGAAGTTCCTGTGTAATTTGGCATACCTCAGCCTTTCCCCTGTTGCCCTTCTGTAAGAATGGCTTCTTGACAGCCACCCTTCCATTTAGACCATCTCTGATGAGGCTTCAGTGAATGGTAGATGCATCGACTGAAGGGAGAGCTGGATCTCTCTGGTCCTGTGTCAGATCTTTGAGGGATTTTTTATTATTGCTTAAGGAAACGACTTTCAGGTACTTTTCATCTGGTGTAGATAGCTTTTTAAAGACTGCCACTTTGCTCAGAATTATAAGGACACACTGCACATCAAGCTAAAATAGGACAACTTTTCAGCCCACAGCCCTTTGGGAAAAATGTTGGTTATTGCTAAGTTGTGTGTTGTCTGTGTAGACACAACACTGCTTCATCCCTTGAACTAGGTGATTTTTTTCAAACAAACAAACAAAAAATGTTCGGCTATAAGGATGGGACTGGAAAAAATGAAAAAGTAGCCAATGTCCAAAGAGAACTATTGATCAAGACCACTTAAAAAAATGTGAGGTTCTGGTGCCTTGAAAGCAAGATATGAAGAATGAAGGGTTGCTCAAGACCTTTGCACAGTACTGTATGTATATTTTGTGACAACTGTGAGAGAATAGTTTCCTTAGATATAACTTCTTACTGTGAATATTTTCCAAGTTACAGTCCCAAACGTGCACACATTAGAGGTAAGTTGAAATTTGGCACTTTCTGTGAGCCTTATTTTTTCCAGCATTATGATGCGTCATAACTTCTTAAGTGCGGAGGAGAGCCACATGAAAATTGTAGAGCTGAAAAACACATTTAGGTTCTGTTAAAAACTGTGACCAAATCACTCTTACTCCAACTCCAAGTGTTACAATCTAAAGCCAAAACCTGGTTTTATTTTTTTCCCAGAGCATCTTTTTTCTCTGACAAACTTTGAGCGTCAGGATCATGAGGATATATCAGAAGAAAACTTGAAAAAGTGTAGTTTGGGTAACCACGTGGGATGGTCAAAACAAGTTGTGATTCCTTCTGTGTCAAAATATTTTTTAATGCAGATTTTTTTTTAACACGCAGAAATTTGTGGTCTGGTTGAGAATCTTTTGAATTCTCCTCCTGTAGTCCTCTCGTTAAGTTGTTGTCCTCTCATTTTGTGCTGCTGTGCCGCTTCTATTGTCAGACTCCGTAAAGCTGTGATGATCTGCAGTCTTGGCATCCAGCACTTTTCTTTTATAAAGCACCAGGAACATGTTTCATCTTCAAGAAATCTAGATGGATATATTTTTTCTCAAATGTATCCTCTTGCAAGGTACCGTGCATAGTCATGGATGATAGCCACATATTGACCAGGGTTAAGTATAACACGAGTATCACTACTTGTGTTATTGCAATGATATTCCTGCTGGGCAATGGGTTTTAGATTGTTACATGACATCACTGACATATTAAAGTTATTCTACAGGAAAATAATTTTAGAAATCTATAAGATCTGCAATATATAAGAGACTACTTATACTAGATTTTCCACTGGGATTCTCTGATTTGATTCCTATAGACTTATCAGGTTATAATCCCAATTCAGCCAAGTGTATATCCTCAGGTATAATCTTATATAATTAGACTATTCTACCTGGCCTAATCGGTTTAACATTAGGCTGTGGCTTTCTGGGTACGGTATAATCTGATGAGAGCAGACACAGAACTGTGTGGGAGTGGATTAGACCGTTTCCTTATGACAGGTCAGCCTATCCTGCCATTATGCAACATGACAGACATCAATAAAGAAAATCATAGCATGTGAAGGATGAGTCCAAGTATTTATATAGCAGCAGCCATACACCAACACCTCGCTCACTGTGCGCTCACTGTGAAAGAAAGACAGTAGTCCTTCAGTAATACAGAAAATGATGGTGACCTTATACATCTAAGTTTGAATCTTCTCTCGGTACGCCTCTGTATTTGTATATCTTGTCCAGTCTGAATGCTCTAAATGTGATATTTTATTCATGATTTTCATTGCCATGACTTGTACCAGTGTCTTTTTCTGTGGGTAACGGTTGGAAAGTGGCTGGTTCAACACATTATTTGTAAGTGTTTGTTGCATGCTCCTCTACAAATAATATCTATTTGATTATTTATGGGGTTGCTGCAGCCTAAGAGTGAGAGTTAGTTAGATCAACAAGGGGAAAAAAAGGATGTGTGGGTTTTAGTGTAGAAAGGGAGTTTTATGATTAAGCTTCAAGTTTCAAATGAGGAATGCAAAGCTGCAAAAGTGTTTCTATTAAAAATTTCGACAAATCTTTTTTAATATAATTCACGTCTTTTATGTCTTTCATCAAACGCTTTTCAGTTCCAGCTCCATCCTTTATAGCAACTATTTGAACTATTCCTTCAGATGTCATGTTGCATAAAAATTGTTCTTGACGAGAACATTTTTACAATTCCTCAAAATTTAACAGATCTATTTTTTTTTCTTTTTCAAACAACCGTATTATATTTAGAAATAGGCGATTAAAATGACACAATAGACGGTGCGAAGGCTGATTGTGAAGGAGCGTTAACCGGCAAAGTCGGTCTGTTTCTCTCTTATGTGTTGTTTCATCTCATCTGCTGAAATAAAACCCTTAAGTACATTATGTAAAACAGCATTAATCCCACCTGAACCTGAATGTTCTGGCATGATTTTTTCAAACAGGTGTTTGGTCAGCAGAACACAGACGAGAAAGTTGGAAAACAACAAAGAGAAAGAGAAAGAGAAAGAGGGGGAGTCTGACAAACGCAACACAACACAGTGAAGCTTGGTA